CCCCTCAACCCCCTCTTCGCAGCATGCAATGGAGTAAGGGGATGGTAAAGTACTATATAATCTGTTATGAATTTGGATCTTACTTTGAAGAAGTCACAGGGGGAGGGGTGGAGAGGGGGGGTTAGGGAGAAGGGGGGGAGAAAAAAAGGGGGAAAAATCTGTATTTGAAAAACTTTTTCAATAAAAAAAAAAAAGAGTGGAAGGACAGACACCCCACTCTGAAACTAGACAGCCTAACGAACAAAGAGGCCGAGCTCATGCACGAGGCAGACCCCCCCCCCAAGTAGGCCTGTAAGGGGAAATAGAAATAAGCTACCAAAAAGGCTAGAGGATTACGTAATGACCATTCATAGCAACAACGCCACACCTAACTCCTATAAAGACATACTCAATCTTCCACAAGAAGAAAGAGAAAAATGGAAATTAGCCATGGAAAGGAAAATGGACAGCCTCAAAGACCTCCATGTGTACTCACCGGCCCAAGTTCCAGAAAACAAGAAACCACTTGGGACAAAATGGGTGTTCAGAATCAAAACACTAGAAAACAACAAAGCTCTATACAAGGCGAGGCTGGTCGCACAGGGGTTTGCTCAGAAGTACCCAGAGGATTACACGGACACATACTCACCTACCGTCAGAGCTGAAAGTGTTAAAAGCGCACTAGTAATAGCAACTGTTCTGGGACTTGAAGTATTCCAGTTCGATGTGCAGACTGCATATCTCCATGTTGATTTGGACAAAGAAATATACATTAAGGCACCTCCAGGGTACAACAAGGGAGAAAGCAACACTTGGCTCCTGAATAAAAGTTTGTATGGACTCAAACAATCAGGCAAGAGGTGGTACGACTGCTTAGCCAAAGCCCTCAACTCCATGGGCTTTACAGCCACCTCTGCTGACAAATGTTTTTTTACAAAAAGAGAAAATGACTTATTCGAGGGCATACTTGTGTACGTGGACGATATTTTGTACATGGGCAAACACAAAGAAAAATGCAATAAGTTTGCCTCTGAATTGGGAAGTCACTTCTCATTAAAATCGCTAGGTAAAATTGACAAGTACCTAGAAGTCCACGTAGCTAAGACTAATAAAGGATTCAGACTTTCACAAAAGGAGAAGATCATTGAGCTACTGTCCAAATGCAACATGTCAGAGGCAAAGCCCAGTGATACACCCATGCAGCCAGACTTTCTGAAAAGTATGTATGATGAGTCCGAACCCTTCAGCGACAACAAATTGTACAGGTCTACCATTGGGTCACTATTGTACATAGCTAATTGGACTAGACCTGACATTGCTCTGGCGGTCAATTTACTATCCAGACACGTAAGCAAGCCCACTATTTCTCACTGGGACGCCATCAAGAAGTTGCTCAGATACCTCAAATACAGCATCAATGCACAGCTATGCCTTGAACCAGAGACTTCCACTAAACCAAGACTGACCTGCTTTGCCGACGCTGACTGGGCGGGGGACATCAAAAGCAGAAAGAGCACCTCAGGTTATGTACTATTCCTCAATAGAAGTCCCATTCATTGGTACACAGGAAAGCAGAAACTAGTGGCCACTTCCACCACAGAAGAATTCGTCTGCCTATCCAAGGCCGCAAATAACCTGGTGTGGTTTGACAACTTACTTAGTAACATTTGGGATGAGCCATCATACCCAATAATCATCCACGAAGACAACAAGGCAGCTATAGAGATATCAAAAGCTGATGCCGTGGGTCAACGATCGAGGCACATTGATATCAAGTGCAAACATGTAAGGCAATTCTCAGAGATAGGTTTCATTAAGGCTGTTCATTGTGATACCGAGGAGCAAATTCTGCAATACTAACTAAACCCCTACCGCATAAGCAACACTCATATTTCATGTCTAAAATATGTGTTCATACGTAATTATGTATATGACGTGTATGTATGTAAATACCATGTACCCGTACCCTGTTAGACATTTAGAGGGGGTTTTGTCAGGGTAAATGTCTAACTTCACCATAATCACAGGCCCAGGGCCATGCAAGGGTTAATCGATCACACATCCCATCATCCCCTTAACCACACCTTACCTTTAGGCTCCTCCCCCTGGGTATAAGATCTCTCCCCACGTGGAGATCCAGGAACGTACCTGTAAATGAAAAGATCTGATGTCAGTAAGTGCTATGCGTGATAGGTCTGGAACAAGCCAGGCTAGAAATAAAAGATACCTGAAACTTATAATTACTTGTCTTTTGAGTTATTGGGCTAGATCCATTCTATATCATGGAATTCTCACCTCCTTTCACCTCTCAGCATCCTTTCAACAACACAACCTTCTGCATTTCTCTCTAGTCTCAACAACTCACAGTCATTTTTCCCCACAAATTCATCTCCCACATCCTCAACACACAGGCATTCACAGGTCTCAAGATCACTTCGCCTTATCACTCCTTATGAGCTTCGGGACATCTCACACACACACATTCACCTTTGTATTGCAATCAGACTTTTTGTATACACCAATTTCACATATAAAAATATCATTTAATGCTTCCTCCATGCAAACCAAATTATTTCAGGGAGCTTTTCACAAGCCAATGAGCTCCATTTTCTAAATAACTTTTTGTGTACTGTTGTTAGAGGGTCTCATCCTTCCTGCAGGTTTGGAAATGATTACATACATACACATACACACACATACCATCAAACATTTCCAGACCTGTGGAGGTTGTTTTTTGTTTTTATTTCCTTGGGCAACCTATAGCTTATTCTTAAAGCAGTGGGAAAACTCAGAGAGCAGTTTAAATCATAAATATGATTGTGGGCCCTAACTACTTTCTGTTTCCCACAGCTCCAAGCCCAGATGTTTACTTAATTTGCAGGCTGGCCAGACATATCACAATCAATTCTACAGGCTATTATTATAGATGCATATCCAGGAATTTTGTAACAGAAATCACACCAAATTGATCAAATCAAATTATATCAGTCTTCTCATTTAGGCAGATTTTACATTTTTTTGTATTACTTGCTAAAACCCAGGAGGAAGAGTTGAACGTTGTCTGAAATAATAATGACTCTGAAAATTGTGGGTATTTTAGAGGGGGTCAGAAAGAGCCACGGATGGGCCAAGGCCAATCCTTGATCCGTTTGGAAAGTACACTAAAAATAAACGATGGGAATCATTTGAACCTGTTTCTTCTTCCAGTTGTAAAACGGAAACGGTTTCTTTGAATGAGCAGTTTTGCAAAGAAAAATAAGAGAAATTGAATTTCCTGTTTGTGCTAGGAAAAGGCTTGGGGGTGGGGCAGGAGATGCGGTTTCTCCTTTTCTGTCACTCTTGCCTGTTTGCAAAAGATGCTGCTAAAATGGACAGGCCTTGCTGACTGGGAATTTAAGGAAGCCAGTTAGAATATATTCCAGACTGCCTGATAGGCTAAAATGCAGATGGAGTAGCTTACGATCCTTTTATCTTTGCAATTTTCACCCCCTTCTATAGCCTGTCCGAGATCTAGTTTGGCATTTATAAAACTTGGTAACTTTAAGATTGGTGGGAGGGGGAGGGGGAGGAATTCAACTCCCAAAATTCTTAAAGTTGCAAAATTCTTAAAAGTCCATCTTAAAGTTGCAAGGTTGAGAAAGATTGAAATTGCAGAGGTGTTTGGATTGGCCAAACCACGAATACTGGATCTGATTTTTCCCTGGTGCAGAGTAGACATTTATCACACAAGCTGGGAAATTGCAACCTGGGTGGTCCTTGGTGTTCTCTCAGCTTCGTTTTCTTGCAGACGCTTTCTTTTAACACTGATGATGTTACCAAGTTGGGTAATAAAACATTTGCAAGAAAACCACCAAGCACAGAGAGCACCAAGGACCCCACAGTTCAACACTGAGCTACAAATCTTGTATAAATTGCAACCTCTTTATTAAATGCAACACAGAGAAATGTGTTCTCCGGACTAAATCACAAATCAAGAGCCACCCAATACACCAATTGCTGTTGCAGCTTTTATACACATTTGCAAAACTAAGCCATGGTCATTAGCAAACCATGGGGATTAAAGGAGCAATAAATAAATAGAATACCGCTAGTAAAGAATGGCCCTCCCAGCCAATCCGTTCGTTACTAAAGCATTCCAGCCTCTGGCCCTGTCCCTAACTGAGAAGGCTGGCAATTAAGTATGCAAAACTTTCTAGCTAATTTATCTGCAACAGAAAAAGGGAAGTCAAACCCTGGCCTGGTTGGAGTTCTCCATAAATCTTCTGGGAATTTTAGGGCAAGGATGGTTCAAAAGAAAAACGTCAGAAAAACAGAAGTGAGCAAAATGAAGCTTTTTTTTGGCAACAAAATGGGATTTCTCCAGCTCCTACAGTTGCATGCTTTCCCACCCACCTCCACTGGCCCCCTTTGGATAGGCTCAGGCTGGTCTCTCCTGCCAAACCCTGATTTGTTCTACCTAAGTAGTTTGCCAAGCCCTGGGTTTTTTTCAAACAGATTTAACAGTTGGAAGGGACCTTGGAGGTCATCTAGTCCAACCCCCCCCCCCAAGCAGGAGGCCCTACACCATTTCTGACAGATGGCAGTCCAATCTCTTCTTGAAAGCGTCCAGGGATGAAGCTCCCACAACTTCCGAAGGCAACTTCTGTTCCATTGAATATAGAATAACAGAGTTGGAAGGGACCTTGGAGGTCATCCAGTCCAACCCCCCACCCAAGCAGGAGACCCTCCACCATGGCAGTCCATCTCTCCAGTGAAGCTCCACAACTTCCGAAGGCAGCTTCTGTTCCACGGGTGGACGGTTCTGACGGTCAGAAAAATCCCTCCTGATTTCCCGGGGCCAATGGCCAAGCCATCCTTTGTCCAGCCGGCGGCCTTTGCACCCGCGGAAGTCGGGGTTCCCCTAAACCCGGGACCTTCGCGGCGCGCAGCGGATCCCAGCCGCGGGGCAAGCGGGCGCCCGTCGGACAAAACCCGCCGCCAGGGCGCCGCAGGGGCAGCTGAGCTCCGAGTGGCCGGGGCGCTGCTGACGCGGAAGGCGGGGCGCTGCCTGGCCCCGGTCCCAGCGCGAAGATGGCGCGCCCGTCCGGCTGGCTGCTGCTGGAGGTGGCGCTCAACGCCGCCGCCCTGCTCGCCGCCCTCGGCTGCGCCGCCGCCCTCGGCCTCGCCCAGGTCAGCCGCCAGGGGGGCCGCCGCCGTCCCGGGGTGGGCAGGGGAGGGTGGGAAGCAAGCCGGGCCCCGCCGCCGCCCGCCTCTCGCGCTCTCCTTCCTCGCTCGAGGGCAGCGCCGCCCACGGGGCCCGGAGAACCGACCGCCCCGCCGGCTCGCCCTTCCTTTAGCCCCCGCTCCAAGTTACAAGGGCCCCGGGGGACGGGGGGAGGGACTGGGACCCTGTTTCACACTTACGACGGTCGCGGCATCTCTCCAGGCTCCCTGCGGGCTGGGTCCCGTGTTCCCCTTTTGCCCTCTTTCGCCAAGCAAAGTCAATGGGGAAGCCAGACTCCCTTAACAACTGTGTGATCATTTAAGAACTGCGGTGCTTCACTTAACGACTGACTGTGGCCAGAAAGGTTGGAAAAGGGAGCAAAATGGGCTGAGCAGCTGTCTCGCTTAGCAGTGGAAATTGTGGACTCCTTTGTGGTCATAAGGTTTATTTATTTATTTATTGGTTCGATTTATATGCCGCCCTTTTCCGGAGACTCAGGGCGGCTTATAATGCGTTAAGCAATAGCCTTCATCCTTTTGTATATAACTGCTTAGTAGGGCTTTCGCCCCCCCCCCCCCCCAGCGGTGTTCTTTTTAATACAAAGTCAGTTTATTGCCCCCAAAATCCGGGTCCTCATTTTACTTACCTTGGAAGGATGGAAGGCTGAGTCAACCTTGAGCCTGGTGAGATTTGAACTCACAGTAATTGCAGGCAGCTGGTGCTACTTAACAGCACTTTAGTCCGCTGCACCACCAAGGCTCTTTATTTACCAAGGTTTGGGTGATCCTACCTGTTCCTCCCCCCCAGACCTCCTTCCCCTCCCAGCCAGGTACCCTCGAGGCTGGAGAGACCCCAGGTGTGGCTCAGAGCCTCCCTGGAGGGGAGAAATGCAGAAACCCCCTCAAGGGGGGGAATTTATTTCAGGCCACCTGGCCAGGGAGGTCTAGCCCAGGGGTCCCCAACCTGGGGGCCCCACCCCATACTCACGTGAGTGTTGCTGTGAATGTCATGGGCGTGTCCACGCACACCTGCCTGCCCCTCCCACAAAACCATCCCCTCTTTTCCCCCAAAGGTTGGGGGGCTCTGGTCTAGCCCACAGGCTGTGCCATGCTCTAAGGCGCATGCTGGCTGAGGAATTCTGGGAGTTGAAGTACACAAGTCATAAAGTTGCCAAGGTTGGAGACCCCTGCTAAGGCACAGGGGAAGACAGGCAGGGGCTCTGGGTTCAGGTCTGGGGAAAGTACAGACAGCCCTTGACTTACATCCACAATTGAATCCAGCATTTCTGATTTTGAGTGAAATATTTCTTAAGTGAGTTTTTGCCCCATTTTACGACCATTCTTGCCACCGTTGTTAAGTGAATCACTGCAGTGGATAAGTTAGTCACACGGTTGCAAAGTGGCTTCCCCACTGACTTTGCTCATCAGACGGTCACAATAGGGGACCACATGACATTGAAACTGTCATAAATATGAACCAGTGGCCAAGCGCCCAAATTTTAATCACATGATCATGTGTGGCTGCTACAAAGGTCACTTTTTTCAACACCGTTGTTCACTTTGAATGGTCACTAAGTGAACTGTTCTAACTCGAGGACTACCTGCATAATGTTACCTTTATTAAGGGCCTTCGGAGGTGGGTGGGGAGTTGAAAACATAGGATTTGTTTTGCCTAGGGCAGGGGTCTCCAACCTTGGCGACTTTAAGACATGAGGACTTCAACTCCCAGAATTCCCCAGCCAGCTCTGCTCTGAGATAGTGAGTTCTAGTACCGCCTTAGGCATGAAAGCCGGCTGGGTGACTTTGGGCCTATCACCAGGCGGCTGTGAGTTCTGATCCCACCTTGGGCATGAAAGCCAGCTGGGTGACTGGCCAGCTCTCCCTCTCCGTCCACCTCACAGGGTTGTTGTGGTGGGGAAAATTGGAGGAGGAAGGTGTGATGGATATGCTCGCTGCTTTGAGTTATTAATACAAATAAGAAAGGCAGGATAAAAGAAAAACAAAAATAGAAAAAGAATGGATGGAGCAACCACCTCCAGCCATTCTCCATTCTCCAGAGTGTTGGGTTGTGGCTGCCCACCCTCTACTGGGACGGGGGGTCAACACCAGGACTCCCTTTTTTCGGCCAGCAGACCTGTCACCCCTCTTCTGCCCCCCCCTCTTTCTTTCTCAGGGGGGCTTTGGCGGCAAGTGCATTCTGTACGGTTCAGTGGACTACAACGGGACGCTGATCCTCCTGAGTTCCAGCCCTCCCTCGCTCTGCTACTTCATTTCTGCCATCTCTGGGCTGACGGCCATCTTCAACCTGGTCTCTCTGCTCCGCGGCCTCTACAGCTTGTGCTTCGGTGATGGGCACTTGTGAGTGAGGGGCCGGGAGGGGGCTGGGACGGGGAGGGGGGCAGGGCGGCATCCTGGGTCCTGACGCTGCTTCTCCTGCTCTCCTGCAGGGTCCACACCTGGATCAGGACCTCCTTGGTGGTCTCAGCCACCCTCCTCTTCTTCCTTCTCGTCTCCGCCTGCATTCTCCGCGTTGGCATGGATTTCTTCTGTGGCTCCATTCAGAAATCCAAAGCGGCAGCAAGGTAAGGACCCAGGCAGAGGAGGGGCTGAGCGAGAAGCGAGGATTTCTTTGGGCTGCATTCGCACAACATGTTTACCTGATTAGGGAACAAACCCTTTTCCTGGCTTCACATAGGACCTTGACCATTAAGCAAGCAAACAGGTCGGATTATTTGCCCCGCCTGCTGAACCGCAAAGAAAGCTAACGGAGCTTTGCCTGTGGTGGAAATGGTCCTGGTAGGCCTTTAGCTGACCTGGTTACCTGTGTTGTGAGGATGCAGTGATTGTCATCAAATAGTGCAGTAGTAGTACGGTAGTACTACTAGTCGTAATAGAATAACAGAGTTGGTTGCCGCGGTTTCAGGGCAGCCGCCATGGCTGCTGTTCCGCTGCCGCTGGCGTGAAGGAGAAGCCTCCGGCCCCGAGGAACCTGCCTGTTCCTCTCGGCCGCCCAAGGCGTTCCTTCTTGTCCCCCTGTCCCTACAAGACAGCGGAGGTTCGCAGACCTATCGGCGGCAGCTTAGCAGAGGGGATTTGGCAGGGCTCAGCGGAGCTCGCCATTTCCCCGTCTCTGTCCCTGCGGCGCCAACCTTTGCATTCACAACAGCTATTCCAGACAAAGGGAGATTTACTTCCTGGCACAAATAGTCTCAGTTCCATAATGTAGAGATAAAGACACGTAGAGCTGCTGTGGGGCTCAACTCTTTAGTACAGAAGCAGAGCATAAATGAACTGACAACTTCTCCAGATGCAAGGGTGGGATTCAGCCGGTTCACTAGAACCAGTAGCTAACTTTTTGTGCAGTTTGGCTGAATCCCACCACTGATCGCCCCTCCCCTCCCCTCCCAGCCACTCCTCCCCTCGCCCCAAAGAGACGAGGCGCCTGCTTATATGCATCTCCAACCTTTGCCCGGGGAAAGGCAAAGAAAGGCTTGTTCAAAGGAGCAAAGGCCATTGCACCTGGGAGAGGGAAGGGAGAGAAGCCAGGGGAGGCAAAGGGCCACCAGGTTTCCCTGAGAAGAAGCAGCCCAACACACGCCCACTTTCCGCGCCCCAAAGTCCAGCCCGCCCACCAAGAGTGCATTGGTGCTTCCCCCGGTTGTTGTTGACTAGATAGGCCGTCACTAAGGCGCCAGGGCCTTTCTGCCGGCAGCCACTGGCCTGCCGAGGCTGCAGGCTCCTGCTCCCAGAGCCACTCTCTGGCCGGCAGCTGTTCCCACTGCAGCTCCTGGAAGGCACCGAGGGCCAGTCCTTTGATATTTCCAGGCCGGCCCCATGGGCCAGATCTAAGCAACCCGTGGGATGGATCTGGCCCGCAGGCCTCGAGTTTGACACCCCGGCCTTATCCCATCTCAGACAAACGGTTGTCCAGTCTCTTCTTAAAAACCTCCAGTGATGGTTATCCCAAAGGTGCTTTTTCAGGAGGCAACTGGACTTCCTTGTTTTTTTCTTTTGAAGACGTTTCTCTTCTCATCCAAGAAGCTTCTTCAGCTCTGGCTGGCTGGTGTGGAATGGAAGAGTTAGGGCAAGGGTCAGCAACCTGCAGCTCTGGAGCCGCATGTGGCTCTTTCACTCCTCTGCTGCAGCTCCCTGTCACTCAATATGCGTCACAACCGCCAGTATATGATACCCACCGGCACACAATTTATTGAGCTTTTCAACCCCCGGTAGGCCAGCCATGGATAAAGCCAAGAAAATAAAAATTTCAGAAGAAAACGGAATGTTTAATTCAACTATATATGCTAGTTTTGTGGCCGCTCAAGAAATAGTCAGGCACGGGAAGGGTTTTTGTGGCTCCCGGTGTTTTCTTCTATGTGGGAAATGGGTCCAAATGGCTCTTTTCAGTGTTTAAGATTACAGACCCCTGGGTTAGGGTTTATATTCCTTGCAGACAGCTGGTTGTTTGCATCCTTTTAGAGGGTCGTTGAAGCACTTGGAGGTTTATCTGTGTCCTCAGGGTCACCTGAGTAGATAAGTAGATGACTTGAGAATCTCTACAGACCTCCAGTGATGGATCCCCCACAACTTCTGAAGTCAACACATTCCACTGGTTAATTGTCCTCACTGTCAGGAAGTTTCTCCTTAGTTCCAGGTTGCTTCTCTCTTTAATAATCTTCTACTCATTACTTCTTGTCTTGCCTTCCCTCGGGTGCATTGGAGAGTTGGAGCAGGAGTAGTCGTTCAACCTCAAAGGCCTGTTCTTACCTGTAGTCCAGAAAGAGTACATTGTAAACCCCTTATTTCCTTCTGTCCAGCTGCCAAGAGGCTCAGCAACGCCCCTGGGTCAAGCCTTATCATCCTGGAAAGTTCTACAACAACCTCTACGCTGCCCAGGTAAGCAGATTTCTTAATTCATCCCCTTGCACCTGTCCTTGCTTCCTCTGTGCAGGAGAACACAAAGGCCTCACCTGAACATCCAAAATGTCTTATTTTTTTCAAAACTTAAAAGGCTGCCTGTCTCGCCCCGTAATCCCAGGCAGTTCACAACTATAACAAAAAGAATATAAAACCAATCAGATCGTGCCCACCATGTGCCAGACCACCCATGCCGGGGACCCCCATCCTCAGCCCACCGTGTGGGGAATAGGCGGGTTTTCATGCCCTCTAGAATAAGGGTCACCAACCTTTCGGACCTCAGGGACCACTAAATTCATAATTTTAAATCCAACGGATCACTAATATGATCTGCCTGTTGACCGGCTGGGTGGGCGTGGCTAGGTGGTCATGTGACTGAGTGGGTGTGGCCAATTATATGTCACTCACATCGAGGGGTACTTTGCCAGCCTCTACTCGCCCCTCCCCTCCCAGCCCCTCCTTGCCTGCCTGCCCGGGCTCCTTAGGGCCCCAACAGGAAGCAATTGTTGGAGCTAAGCAGCCACCACGAGAAAGAGTTGGCAAAACAGCTGCTCAGTTCAAATTGCATCTGACCAAGAAGAAGCACCTCACTGAGGACTAGGAGCATAGGCTTTCCAAGCAGAGGGAAGACCTGCGGGAGTGCAAGGCCAGGTACCGGCGCCTGGAGGCTCAGTGGGCTGAGATGGTCAGTCAGTTCCAGGCCATGAGGCAGTCCCACTGGAACAAGGCCCTCCGGCTCTTTGCCACCAGAGGCACTTCCCTCCAGCCTTCGCCCAAAGCCCCACACCAGGAGGCCGAAGCAGACCCCGAGTCGGAATTTCTGCCCCCCTCCGACCCACACAAAAAGATCCCGAAAGGGGGAGACTCTCTGCAGCAACACAAACGTTCATTGCACGTATCCTGTCCAGGGGCCGTAGTTTCAGGATCCCTGATTTAGTGCAATATAAAAAAATGCAAATAATTTTTCTGTGGACCACCAGTTGGTGACCACTGCTCTAGAAGGCTTAAAAGATGGCTTCCCCGTGGTCACCTGATCAAAATTCGGACGCTTGGCAACTGGCATGTACTTATGATGGTTGCAGTGATCCCCCTTTTGTGACCTTTGCCCAAGGAAAGTCAATGGGGAAGCCAGATTCACTTAACAACCATGCTACTAAATAAACAACTGCAGTGATTCACTTAACAACAGTGGCAAAAAAAAAGTTGGAAAAAGAGGCAGAACTCGGAACCGCTGTCTCACTTAGCAACAGGAATTTTGGGCTAAATGGTGGTGGTATATTGAAAATTAACTATTGTTTTTGAAATTTATTTCAATTCATCATCATCTTTTAACGACCCCATCATCCCTTGCGGGGTAGAATCTGGGCAACTGAATGGAGCTAGCAAAATGTTTACTGGCGGCTGCCCTTCCTGTCACCAATGCGGAGTTTTGTTCAGCAGATATATTCTCATCTCAGTGTGCCCAGAGAGAAATATCTGCCTCTACCTAGGATTGAACTCACAGCCTCCTGATTGTGAGGCGAGAGCTCCGCCTCTAGATTCAGTTGTTTATTTGATATTTTAATATTTTGTACCCTTTGCTTTTTAATGTTTGTAAGCTGCCCGCTCACTTGACATGAGATGGGCTGCATATAAATCAATCCGTCCATCCATCTTCATCCTGAGCCCTCATATAGAATTGCGATCATTGTTGTCTTGAGTACTATAGGCAGTCTTCGACTTACAACCATTCTTTTAGTGACCGTTCAAAGTTACAACGGCACTGAAAAAAAATGACCATTCTTTGACACACAACCACCATTGCAATCCCAATGGTTAATGTGATCAAAATTCAGATGCGTGGAACCTCCTATTTATGACGGTTAGTGTCTCGGGGGTCACGTGATCTCACTTTTGCGACCGCCTGACGAGCAAAATCAGTGGGGAAGCCCCATTCACTTAACAACCATGTTACTAACACAACACTTGCAGTGATTCGCTTAACAACTGTGTCAAGAAAAGTTGTAAAATGGGGCAAAACTCACTTAACAACAATCTCACTTAGCAACAGAAATTTTAGGTTCAATTGTAGTCGTAAATCGAGGACTATCTGTATTGCCTAGCCAGTATTCCTCTGTCTGAATAAGGGTCCCTCCACAACTGGGATCCAACCTTCCTCTCTAGAACAGGGGTCTCCAACTTTGGCAACTTTAAGACTTGTGGACTTCAACTCCCAGAGTTCCTCAGCCAACTTTTCTCACCCAGGAACAAGTCCACAAGTCTTAAAGCTTTGCTGGCTGAGGAACTCTGGGAGTTGAAGTCCACAAGTCTTAAAGTTGTCAAGGTTGGCGATCCCACTCTGGAACATCCTTCTCATTTTAGGAAGCCATCCAAAGCCTGAGACCTGGGATGGAGCAGATCCACCAGGACTCACCCACTTTCAGGGGAGCTAAATGAACCGGAGGCCTTCGGTTGGAGTGGTGGACCTCCAAGGTCTCCTCCGATCTTCTCCTCCTTTCCGTTCCCACCACCAACTCTTCTCTTTTCCCTGCCTTCAGGCAACTGCTTGGGTGAACTTCCTCTTCTGGTTCTTGATGTCCTTCCTGCTCTTCGTGGAATGCATCCGCAAAGCCCCCTACCAGTCCCTCGAGGTGGAAAACCCCCAGACTGACAAGACAGTGCCCGCCTTTGGTGACCAGTCTCAGTGAGGACGAGGGAAGGAGGCACCATGAGGACTCCCTCTGTTCGGACAGTCTGCCACCTTCTACCCAGGTAGCAGGAGGGCACCATCTAACTTGCTTTGACAAGAGACTGGACCGTTTAAAGCTCTCCTCTCTCTTAGGTTACCCAGAATGATGTCCGGAAATGTCGCAACTGGAGCACTTCTGGAATTCCCTGTCCTGTAGCTTTCCCCATTCCCACACCCAACCCAGTTAAGTTCTCGTGAAGGTCACTACAGAATAGAGGGTTCCCACACACACAAGTTCACAACAGACGAGAGCTACATGGGAAGGACAATCTTGCAATTAAGGCTAGCTGTGATGAATGTGTTACACCACTTTATTGGCAAACACACAGCCAACAGTTGGTTTTTGTGCCTTGAGACCACAAATGCCATCAAGCCTGCTTCTTCTGATGTTGTCCACCTCCACAAGGGGAACACCAACAAGGTGACGGTGTTGAATTTAGGCCACTCCTCCGCTAAAAATCTCCACTCTCCCATCATGGACATTCACTAGTGACATGGAGACTTTCTCTTCCGGCTACGCTACCCCACCTGGTTGTTTGGTGTGGAGAAGAACTGCAGGAAAATCCCCTCATCCTCGGCTTCTGGAGAAACCCTGGGGCCAAACCCTGAAGGAATGGTCCATGTTACCCCATTGGGGGGGGGAGGAAGAAGGGGGGGGTGGTGGATCAATTGGGAAAAACTTGGGTCTTTTCTTCCAGTTTTGTCCAAATCTGTGCAGCTTTTTCACGCAGATGGAACCGCTCTGAAGCAAACAAATACACTCTTTTTTCCTTAACTAGTTTGTCTTTATTGAGTCTGAAAACGTAAAAAGAAGCAGGATGGGTGTGGGAGGAGAGGAAAATAACAAAAGATGGAAGAAGCAGTGGGGTTTGGGGCCCGTTCAGCATACGAAACAAGACACCCCCAAATTTTCTGTCTCTTCCTAAGACCATACCTGGGGAGTTTCTTCCAGCTTTAAGCCCAACAGGCATCTAAATCAATGTTTCTCAACTTCAAGATGTGTGGACTATCGAAGTTGACACATCTTCAAGTTGTCAAGATTGAGAAGATGTTATAACTGGAAAATGGTGGAACAGGCTCAATATCTCGATCTCCCAGAAGGTACCGGGTCCCATCTGAAATGCTACAGGAGATGATAGAAAAAGCGAACATTCGGGGGGTGGGGGGGCCACTGGACAACCGCCCAAGATGGAAATGAGGGGGGGCTGCAAGACTGGGTCAACCTCAGCGGAACTGCAGAGGGCTAATCCTCAAGCCAATGACATCTTTGCCGATTTCCGTCACCTGCAACCAAAGGAGGCATTGTTAGTGGTCCCCCAATTTTTTTAAAAATTCTCCCTTTACAGATTTGGCAACCTTCTTCTCTGAACCCCGAAGGCATGTAACGTTGAGGGTAAATCTTGTTAGGGGTAACCTTCCTACAATATGGATGCTATTGATGTAGTTCACCCACCAGCCTACATCATGCATTGGTTTTAGCTTGGTGCGATGGAGAGGGCTGCCAATTGTGGATTAACACAATTGTGTGTCTCTGAAGTTAAATCTCTGGTGATACCAAAATAGGGGTTTAGTTGAGAGTCCCCACCTGCTAAACTCTACCCTAGGTGGGTAGAGCGAAGGACTCAAACAGTAGATGACCTACAAGGAAGGGACCTTGTAGGTCATCTAGTCCAACCCGCCATCCAATCAGGAGATCCTACACCATTTTTGACAAATGGGCATTCCAATTTCTTCTTGAAAGCCTCCGGGGATGAAGCTCCCACAACTTCCGAAGGCAACTTCTGTTCCGTGGGTTGATTATTCTGTCAGGAAATTTCTCCTTATTTCCAGGTTGAATCTCTCCTTGATCAGCTTCCATCCATTGTTCCTTGTCTGGCCTTCCGGTGCTTTGGAGAATACCTTGACCCCCTTCCTCCTCTCTGTGGCAGCCCCTCAAATCGGAAGATGCTCTCATGTCTCCCCTGGTCCTTCTCTTCACTAGACTAGCCAGGCCCTTCATATGCTTTAGCCTCCAAAGATTATTACAGGAAGGGAAGCTGGCAATTTTTTTCAAAATATCAGATTTTGCCTGCATGTTCAAGTCACGAGAAGAGGTGAGAGAATTACTCAGAGGCCATTTAGACCATCCAGTGGAAGGTGTTACAATACTTTCCCTTCTGGTTTGTAATATAGGCCACAATCGATGACTTGCAAGCTGGTAGTAAGCCAGAAGATGCTTTAAGTGCAATGTTTCTCATTTTTAAGGCAGGGCTGGCTGGCTGGTTCTCAACCTTGGCGACTTTAAGACTTATAAATGTGCTAAGCATGGTGGCTGGAGAATTCTGGGAGTTAGTTTATTTAAGAAAATTTACATGTCTGTTGTTGTTGCCTGCAGACCCCTCCAGCAGCCAACTCAGAGTAGGAGGAGGAGGCGTGGGAGTCAGGGTCAGCATCAGGGCAGCCTGAGACCTCTGAGGGGGAAGAGAGAATGGAGCTGGCAGAGAGAGAGAGAGAAAGAGAGAGAGGCTGAGCCTGAGCCGTCCGTCAGCCCTCAAATGGAGAGTCAACAGCCCCCAGGTCTGGAGGTGGCTGATGAGGAAGAGGAGGAACAGCTGGGCCCAGTGCCTGATGTGTGGATGCGCAGAAGGCAGAGGAGAGGAGAGCAGTGGAAATCTATGGGCCGATCCTTGGGACGGAAGAGTCACCGCTGCTAGCAAAGCCCCACCCTAGTTCTGGGGATAAAAGGCAGGGGGCGGAGAGGAATAGACGGGGCAGACAACTATTCCTCTCCCTGCTGGAGAGATTTGTTAGCCCGCGGTGAGAGAGAAACTTTTTGCCTGGGCTGCTGGAGCTCCTAAAAAAGCAATCTTTGAGTTCACTTCAGAGGGTTTGTTGTATTTAGGATCCGGATCAGAACAGCCAAGTCAGTGACTCCGGACAGCTTACAGAGATATATAAATCATGCTGATTGAGGAGTTCTGTGGATCATAAATCATGCTGGATGGGGAATTCTGGGAGTTGAAGTCCAGAGGCCTGAAAGGCACCAAAGCTGAGAAGCCCCGCCCCGAGGGATGTGTCCAAAGAGATGATAGAAAAAGCAAACAACTTACAGTTGTGACTCTGCAGATCTGGCCACGGAACTCGGGCGAATAGCAGGCCCCACTGAGCGGGCACTTCTCCACCGGTTTGCCCCGGTAGATGGGCCGGAAGGAGGCAGCACAGATGTCGAAAGGATTGTGCATGTCGTAGTTGAGCTGGTGAGCGTCGCTGGGATTCTTCTCGCAGGCCGAGAGGATCTTCCGGGTCTGGAGGAGGGTGGGAGGTGAAAAGGGGGCCCTGAAATGGCGGCTGCTCTGCGTTCCTCCACTACCCACCCTCATTCGCTACCCAGTGGGGCTCCCACCAGCAAGGGGTGCTGCACAGGATTGACAGGATTCTCCTTTTGGGATGGGGTGACTGAGAAGGGTACCTGGAACACTGGAACACTTTGCTTGGAAGAGCCCTTTTTAAAGAGAATCTTTCTTTCTTTCTTTCTTTCTTTCTTTCTTTCTTTCTTTCTTTCTTTCTTTCTTCTTTCTTTTTCTTTCTTCCTTCCTTCCTTCCTTCCCTCCCTCCAACTTTTTTTCTTTTTCTTTCTCTTTCCTTCCATCCTTCCTTTTTTCTTTCTTTTTCATTCTTTCTTTCCCTCCCTTATGTCTGTCTGTCTGTCAGTCAGTCAGTCAGTCAGTCTCTCTGTCTATCCACCATCATCCATCCATCAACCTACCCCCTATCTATCTATCTATCTATCTATCTATCTATCTATCTATCTATCTATCTATCTATCTATCTATCTATCCATCCATCCATCCATCCATCCATCCATCCATCCATTCCATATCATCTATCTATGTCTGTTTGTGGTGGTGGTTTGCTTTCCAAGTTTGTTTCAATGTACTGTATTTTTCAGAGTATAAGACACTCCGGAGTATAAGATGCACCTTATTTTTAGGGGAGGAAAATAAGAAAAAAAAAAAAGTTCTGCTTGAGAGGCTCTCTGTTTGGGAGGCTGCATTTGCAGCCTTCAAAAGCTCCAAAAGGGTGGGGGCCAGTGGGTGGGCAGGACTACATTCGGTGTATAAAACGCACCCAAATTTTCACTCTCTTTTAGGGGGAAAAAAGTGTGTCTTATACTCTGAAAAATACAGTAGTTTCTAAAAGATTCGTTACCAGAGTAGGTAACTTCATCAGAAATTAAACTGAAGCAAGCTTGGTGAACAAACCTCTGCCAAAATCTAAAACCCGGGCTACAAATATTTTCTATTATGTCTGTTGGTTTCTATTTCCTTGTATCTCCGTCTACAGCTGCCCGTCTGCCTAATTCAGATCAAACTTCTCTCACAGAAAGTGAGCCTGGGAGGCATGCAAACCACCCACCCACGCTTTAATCTGCCAGAACATGGTGGGGGGAATGTGATCCCCACTTCACCTCTTTTAGCTGCGCAATCCCTCTTCGGAATAACGTGAGATTCTCCGTTCCCACATACACGCTCCCCTTCTAGGCCTCCCACTCAAGTACCTTCCATGAGTTGAAAGAAAAGCCCCCCATGTCAACTCGCAAAGCTTCCCTAACCTGCTCCCAAGTTGCCATAGGCAGGGGGATGGGGGGGGGGATCGAGCTTCGCAGCTGCATCGAGGAATTTACACCTCAGTCAAAACAAAATACATCCTAGCCAGCCAAAGTCAAGGCCATCTCCACAGAGACCCATAACAGCCGGAGGGAGTGACTTCTACGACCCTGTGAAATTGCTTCATTGGGGAATGTGACTGATGACACACTTTGGGGGAAGGGGGGAACAGGGTCAGAGGCAAGGCACGAACTGAGTGGGGTCAGAGCTGCCTTCACTAGGTCCCTGCAGACATGGCGCTCCTAAGAAACAACTGGATTTTTCTTGAAAACTGGCTTGAGGCTCCTGCTTTCATTAGGGCATCGGTCGGAACCCTGACACCCGAGAGGCTTCCCACTTCCCTCTGGAGACCCCCGCTGGCCTCTTACTTATCGCCCCTTCCCTTGGGGCACCCACCTGCTGGGCCACTTCGGGCTTGGGGCCGAGCTCCAAGAGACGGCGAGCGAAGGTGGCGGCCGTCTTGAAGTTCTTGAGCTTGAAGAAGAGGTTGAGGGCCGTTCGGAGGACCAGGATCATGTGGACAGGCTGTAGGTTGGCGTGGGTGAAGTAGGCGGCCATCTGCAGGGGACAGCATGTGTTCAGAAAGGGGAGGGGATGATTGCAGGAAAGGGGAGGGGGTTTCAGATGCAGAGGCTCCAGGATCAATGCAGGATCTGCTTCTCCATAGTTTTGGCCAGGAAGAGGAGTCCAACAGCCCCAGAATCCCCCAAAGCAGCTGGAGACCTGACCCCTCCCACCTTGGGAACCCCACGTTGGCCAGCCAACTGACTGTCAGGCGCAAAGGATCAGGACCATCCATGAAGTTGCGGTTTAAAAGATTTATTGCCTGAGCTTCTACATGAGGATCTAGTCAACTAAGGTTCAACGCTCAATTGATGCCAGATAAGAATCAACACAATTCATGGGGGTTGGGTTTAGACCGTTTGATGGGAACTCAACGATTCTAGGCTGATGATTCGCTTAACTCCACCCTCAGCTCTGCCTGCTCTTCTGGATCAGTGTTTTTCAACTTGGCAACTTTTAAGACTTGTGGACACCTGTGCCCTGCACCCACCTCACAAATGCGCTTCTGTTCCTCCAGGGTATCTTTGGGCAGCTTCTTCCTCTCCAGCTCCATGGACAGCCCCAC